CGGTGATGGAGTCACCATCCCTGGAGGTATTTAAGGAAAGACTGGATGGGGGACTTAGTGCCATGGTCTAATTTACATGGTGGTGTTTGGTCGTAGGTTGGATTTGATGATCTCAGAGGTCTTTTCCAACCCAACTGATTCTGTGATTCCGTGATTTCTCGGCCCCAGCCCTCTCTGACTGCTGCTGCCCACCACCCTCTACAGACTGCAGCTGACCTGTGCGTCCCTTGCAGCACTTTTACAGGGCCTTGCACTTCCAGAGGCAGACATTTGGACAAGGTTTTTGTAGAAGCCCATGAGCTGGGCCTCCCAGCCTGCCTGGCCTGTGAGCACAAAGACCTGGGGCAGCGGGAAGCAGGTGCCTGAGCATGCATGTACATCTCGGTGAGCGGAGAGGGTGCAGGAAAGCTGGCATCTGTGCCAGCTCACCGGCTGATTGGAGTGCTGTGAGAGAAGGAAGGAGTGCAGCATGAGGAGCAGATGGTGTCTCTAAGTACTGTGGTACCCAGAAGTATCCAAGTGCCAGGAGGCCAGAAGGGCAGGGTGTTGGGGCGCAGCTGAGGACCCAGGCACTGGAGGAACCCAGTTCACTGATACACTTTCTCCTGTCTGCCTGAAGAGCTTTTTGAAGAACTTGGTGTAGTTCTTTAGAGAGTTTTGATGCAAATTGCACTGCCTTCTGTAAATGTTAAGTTTACTAATTGAAGAAACGATGTTTTTATTTTATTTTACCCCCTATAATTACTCAGCAGGACTATGGTGATGCTACATGCCTATGCCTGAAGCTTCTGCTTTGGCCTGTCAACAATACTGTAGCATCTTTCTATTCAGTCTACTTGTAGCTCATGACATTTGTCTTCTAGTTTCTATACTAAGTGTCTCCTCAGAGGAAGTTCTCAGTCTTCTAGCTAAAAGATGAGCCTGTACTGTCAGGTCACCATCATAGCCTGCATCTCCATTCTCTGCCATGAAAAACTTCATAAAACACACTTCCAAAAGGCAGAATTTTCTAAAGTTGCACAGTTTAATTCTGTGGATGGGCAGACAAGCTGAAATCACTGCGTACTTCACCACCTTCTGTTCCAAATTCAAAGAATTAAAAGTATGTTTACATGTTGATGAAAATAACCCAAAATAACTTCAAATTTCAGCAAATGATTTTGTAATTACCAAACCACAAAGATATTAAACTTCACATCCATCTCTACATCTTGGAGAAAGAAAGAAAGAAAAGTACCATAATGAATATTAGTCATAGTGCTAAAGGCACTACTGAGAGACTTAATGAAATTGCAATGTAAAATAATATGTGAAGTTCTCTAGATAACAAAGTATGTAATAGAGTTATGTAATTTAAGAACAAAGAGATTGTTAAGTCATGTCCTTGGTATCAGAGACAGATCTCAGTGGTGCATATATCGCTAGTGTTTTGACAACCATGAGGTCATAAGAACACACACTATTTAAAATCATTTGCACATTTAATTAGATACTTTAGAAGGGAGAGGCCAAGACCAGACAGGCCATAAATGTATAAAACTCATAAACACATATTATGTTCCATAATACTCTGTTCCTAAAATATAATCTAGATTCTTTCATTAATTGAAAATATGTAATTTTAAACTAGTCAGCAATACTGTGTATTATGTTTTACTACTCTGTCACAGTCTCAGATTAGATCCACAGAAATTTTAACATTACTGTAGATATATAAAGTTAAAACTAAAACTGATTACTAGAGAAGTTTAAAAATATTATTTTTAAAAGTGAGACCAGTGAAGGATCAATGTTGCCTTAGTACTCCAGCCACAGCCCAAACTTAATTAAGATCAGTATGAAATGCTTATTGAATATGGTTCTAGTTTACAAAAGGTGTTTATTTCCCCATAAAGGTGAAGCCGCTTTTTACCTACACAAGTCACGCATAAACTGCACACTTTTTTCACAGGTGTACAGAATGATTCTATAAACCACCTGAACAAAGTATGGCCATTTTGTACCAAGTTCAATACACTGTAAGTGCTGCCTGCACACAGAGCAGGGCATCGCCTCTCCTACAAAGACAGACTGAGAAAGCTGGGGCTGTTCAGCCTGGAGAAGAGAAGGTTGTGTGGAGACCTCATAGCTACTTTCCAGTGTCTGAAGGGGGCCTACAGGGAAGCCAGACAGGGGCTCTTTGTCAGGAACTGCAGTGACAGGACAAAGAGTAAGGGGTACAACTTTAAAGAGAGTAGGTTTAGATATTAAGAAGAAATTCTTTACTGTGAGGGTGGCGACACACTGGCACAGGTTGCGCAGGGAGGTTGTGAATGCCCCATCCTTGGCAGTGTTCAAGGCCAGGTTGGATAGGGCTCTGAGCAACCTGGTCTAGTGGGAGGTGCCCCTGGCCTTGGCAGGGGAGTTGAGAATAGATGGTCTTTAAAGCCCCTTCCAACCCCTTAATATCCTGTGATTCTGTGATTTGCGTACCCGAGCCTACGACAACGAGCTCCAAGAAAGCCCTGTCAACAAATCAAACTCAGGAAACTTCTTGCGCCAATGAAGCGTGCCTCGAGCCGGCCTTTCCCAATCCCTCCGCGGACGGTTATCCCTACGGCCACTCTCATTTCCCGCGCCATCGTGCGGGAACAGCGCGTGCTCCCCGCGGCGCAGCCAATGGGGGCGGAGCCGCTGGCCCGGCCTCGCTCTGGAGGCGGTCGGAGCCAATCAGGGCGGCGAGCGCTGTGCGGCGGAGGCTGCGCCTGGGCGGGTGCGCGGCGCCATGGCCGCCGGGTCCGCGCGGGCTCTCGCGCAGGCGTTGGGGACGCTCGGTGAGGGCAGGGGGGGACCCGGCGGGAGGGACTGGGGAGGTGAGGGGAAAGGGGGGCCGATGGGAAGACGGGGGAACTGAGGGGGGAACGGGGCTAAAGGGATAGGGGGCTGCGTGGAAGGGTGGGGCTGGGGGATTGGACTGAGGAGGAAGTGGGCTCAGAAGAGGGATGTGCTTCTTTTAGGTAAATTTAGGTTAAAAAATTAAATTAAGGTAAACGCATGCACGAGGGCCTAAGGATTTTTCAGACGAAGATTTTATATTTTTACTGTAACCCCTGAAATTTGCTCCTGATCGCTATTGCTTGTGTTTTTTTAGATGCTGGTGGTGCAGCAAATAAGATTAACTTAATACCTCAAGACTTCTTTGCAGAGCTGGTAAGTAGGGGGATAAGGATGTGGAAGGGCTTCTGGCACTCTGGTTCTAGGAAGCCTTTTTGTTTAAGCTTTCCTGGTTTTTGTCTGTTGCAAAGGGAATCTTGTGTGCGTGGTAGCTTCACTTACATGATTCATAAAATGCACCAGTCCTGCTAAGAGCAGTGGTATTGCCTGAAATTTACGTTTTTATCACAGATTTTTAAGAATCTATTTTTGCCTGTCATCTAG